CCCCCCCCGACCCCCCGTATCGTATGTATGAGCTTTTCCCTCCAGCTTGGACTGTTCCCGTCACACAGGCAACATCTGTCCCCTCCTTTAGCTGAATCCCGTCCTGGTCCAGGGAAGGCAGCCGATGTGACGCGTAGATAAGAGGAAGGCCCCACGGGAGCCAGGTGGCCCCGGGCCTGGGTGTGCGCCCCGTGGCCTTCACCCAGCGGGGGACAGGCTAGGACCACAGGAGGGTGAACGCTGGCTCCCCAAACAGCCAAAGCCGCCTCTTTGGGGAATCTCCTCAGACCGGGAGCACAGTGACTTTGAGTTTAAGCTATTAAAATACTTCTTCATACTTGGCTTTCTGGCACGCGTGTTTTCCTTTCCTCCCAGCAGCTGGTTACAGTTCCTCGGGGGTGATTACAGTGTCAAGGGGCCCCCGTGAAACCACACTGTCCGCGCGGGGTCGAGCTCGAAGTCCGAGCGGTGTTTCGAAATCCCCCTGCGGGGCTCGCTGGCGTAGGAACAGCTGTGCGCGGCCCCTGGCTCCAGGCAATTGGATGTGAGGACGGTTGCACTCGCATCTGGAGCTTCTCAAGCTACAAAGAGCCTGTCGACCTCACACACCAGGCAATCGGTCAACAGAGATTTTCCGGGCCCCTGCTCTGTGCCAGGCACAGGGCTGTGTGTACAGAGGGGAATGCAGAGCAGGATGACCTGGCCCTTCCCTCCCCAGAGGTCAGTCGAGAAACTAGATCTCTTTTTCTTTTAATTCTCACTTGATTTTTTTAAAAAAAATTTATTATTTTTTTTTAGAGTGGAAGAGAGAGGAGGGGGGAGAGAGAGAGAGAAACATTGATGTCAGAGGGACACAAAAATTGGTTGCCTCCGGCACACGCCCCAACCAGGGTTGGGGATCGAACCTGAGATCCTTTGGTTCTCAGGCCAATGCTCCAGCCACTGAGCCACGTCAGACAGGGCAAAACAGGTCTCTTTTTCAAAGGGAGACGCTGCAGGAGATTAGGATACGACCCCAAACTGCCCTGGTCTAAGTCCCCAGAAAGCACAGGCTGAAGCTGATTCCCGTGTCCTGGTCCCTGAGATAAAAAGCAGACCGTGAGCTTGACGGGTGCAGAGCAGGGCTCCCCTCCAAGTGTCCCCGAGCGGGCACAGCCCCGGGTGGCTCCAGCCACCTCCATCCCCGTGAAGGTTTCCAAAAGTTTTGGAAGCCGGACCCAAGAAGCCTGTTGTAAAACTTCAGCTTGGAAATCTGCACAGGCCTGCGTCCCCACGGAAGCCCACGCCGGAGGGGAGGCTGTTTGCACCAAGAGCGGAGGGTAAACGGCCCTCTAGCAGTCAGCAGTCTGGGGGGGGCCTTGGACTTGACGGAGGTCCAGTTCTCTGGACGGAGAGCTTAATTGTCCCTGGACCAATGGGTGGCTAAGACCTCTGAGGTCAATTCAGAGCAGGAGAGGCTGTGGAAGGCGCGGGGCCAGGTGAAACAGTTGAGATCTGATTAAGCGAAGGCCTCTCAGTTCCGCCGCCAGGCAGCCGGGCAGCTGGTGTCCTTGCAACCCCGTGCGTCGGGCCGTTGCTGTCTGCTCAGACGGCCGTCAGAGTCCGGAAGGAGCGGTAAGTCCTCTCGCGCCTGGCGTGGGGCTTGCGTTCTCTCCCTCTCCGTTAGAGGGGATGCCGACTCAGAGAGCGGCCTGTGGCATCAGGGCTCCATCGCAGCTGTTTTTCCGTGGGCCTGCTCCTCGGGGTGGTCCCCGGGGCCGGGAGGCTGCCACAGGTGGCGTGGGGTCAGAGCAGCCCCGGCCCGAGCCCATTTCTCTCCAGCCTGTCATCGCTCGGGAGGCTAGAGATGGCTGGTCTGGAAGGAATCAGCAGGGCGAGCGCCTGGCCCGGGGCCTCTGTAAACACTCGGCAGCATCTCCCGGGCGTCCGAGGACCCTGGGTGGGGCCGGAGTTCTGCCTGCTTGCGTGGTGACAAACAAGGCCACAGACATGGCCGCTGGGTGCACTGGCTGGCACACTGTGTGTTTGGTTACGTGGCTGCCCTGCCCTGTGGGGCCCGGGCCTGTGGGGCTGTGCTGGTCTGTGGGATGGTGGGTCCCGTGGGGGCTGCTCCTCCCGGCACCCTCACCCCTCCTTGCGGCTTTCACACAACATCCCGGGACGTATGTTTCTTTCTCCTAAGAGCTTGGCTTTTGGAACTTGAGTTCAACTCTACTGTCTGCATATTATTGGCTGTGTGACCTTTGAGCCAGTTACCGAACCTCTCTTTGCCTGTCCCCCATCTGTAAAACGGGGATAATCGTAGTACCTACTTCCTACGGCTGTGGTGGGGATTAAATGAGTCAATACGTGGCACCTGGTCAGCGATAAATAACTAGCAACATATGTGTTAACTAGTGTCTTTGAGCCTCGGTTTCCCCTTGTGTAAAGTGGGGAGTAGTCGTGTCCCCCTGTACTGGAGTTGTGGGGTTAACCGGGATGGCACCGGGCCACGGGGTCAACACAGCTGCTGCTGTTTTGCTATCAGCTGCCGTTGTCCTGGCCTCTGGTGATATCACAGTGGCCAGCATCAGTTGGGGGCCTGCTACGGGACACGCACCGTAGTTCAGCTCTTCAGACCAGGCCGAGGTGGATGCTGTTTACCTTCTTTCACAGGTGAAGAAATTGATGCTCAGAAGTTTAGCATCTTGTTCAAGTCCCAGAGCTCATCCGCGGGGAGCTGTGACGTACGCCCGGGAGGTCTGAGCCTGTGGCACTCGCCTGGGTCCACCTCCAGTCCCTGAAGGCGCCCGTGGGCCCTGTGGACTCAGCCCCCTGCTCAGTTTGTGGTTCTTTCTGGCCCTTTCAGGTCCCTCAACAGCCCCGCCGGCTGGCGGCTCAGCAGCTGCCCCTCCTGTGTCCCTCCCGCTGGCCCTCGCCTCTGCTGAACTCTGCTCCTTCGGTTCCACCCCTCTGCGTCCAGCGTTTGCAAAACTTTAAGTGATGCCAATCACAGGGGCTGGGCTTCGCCAGCACGTCTGCATCACCTGACCGACCCCACCCAGCTTGTCGGGATGCCCTGGCGGGGAGGGGCACCGCGGGCCCTCGCCACGCTCTCTGGGCCTGGCTCTGCCTGGCAGCTCCGCACAGGGTCCTGCTCTCTCTTGGCTCCATTTCTCCATCTGAAAATTTGGAAGAATGCCCACGTCTGGGGGCGGGGGGTGAGGGCATGTGTGTTTGTTAGGATGCGTGTGGTGCTGGTCTCTGCCATGGGTGTGGGGCAGTGGTTTTATGATTCACCAGGAGGGTGCCAGGCCCATTTCAGCAAATGCCACTGAAGCCAGGACCGGCCTCGCTGGGGTTGTGCAGAAGCGGACGTATGTCCGGGCGAATGGGCCAGTGCAGGTTCAAGGTTACTACGAAAGCTGCCTTCTCCCGGAAGGTGGTGACAGGGAGGTCAGACGTAGGACGACATCAGGGTGGCAAGTAGGTGCAGGTGCAGATCGGTGGGGGACTGCCTGGAGCCCTGGGCTGGGCAGGCTGTAGGGCCTCCCGCTCCGCCATCCGGATGATTCGTGGACAGGTGGCAGGAGCAGGTCCCCTGTCCTCACCTCTGGGTCACCTCTGCCTTTCCCCACGGACCGCTGGCCTGTGTGGGCGTCTCGCACACCGACAGTGCCCTCTGCAGCCGTCTCCTAGGGCCTTCTTCACGCCACAAGCCACGCCCCAGCTCTCCTGCAGGGACCCCATGTGGTTCTAAAGAACCGTCGCGCCCGGCCGGTGTGGCTCAGTGGTTGAGCTTCCTCGTGTGAGCTGGGAGATTGTGGTTCGATTCCCGGGCAGGGCACATGCCCGGGGTTTAGGCTCAATCCCAAGTAAGGGCCGTGCAGGAGGCAGCCAATCAATGACTCTCTCATCACTGATGTTTCTCTCTCCCTTCCCCTCTCTGAAATCAATAAAAACATTAAAAAATAAAAAAAAAGAACTGTCACCAGAATCAGCTCGTGGGATGTGACTTTGCCACTTGTATCTGAGAGGACATCAGGATGCTGCTTCGAGTGCCACCCCTGTTTTGAAACAAGTGTTGGTTACATTTCTAAGCCCCTACCCACCCCAGCCCCCCAGATGCATTACCTACGGCTCAGAGAAGGGGCCCCAACTGCCAGGCAGGAGGCTGGTTCTTAGAATCAATCACGCTCACATGTTGGAAACACCCACCAGAAAGGCCCTGGTGCTTGTAGGGCCCTGGGCCTGGTTCGGTGGGAGCCAGCTGGGCCACCACCCCCATCTGTGTCCTGCATCTGGGGCCCAGCCAGACTGTGT